CTCTGAATCTCTCTGATATTTGTCCTCTTTCGCTTATATTGTTTTCTCTGTGCACTTCTTCACATGTGGGACTTCTCTCTCTCTCTCTCTCTCTCTCTCTCTCTCTCTCTCTCTCTCTCTCTCTCTCTCTCTCTCTCTCTGTGTGAGACTCTCTCTCTCTCTTTTCTCTCACTCACAAATACACAGACACTTGTTCCAATTATGATCTTCAGTTAGGAATGAATATGGTTAGTAGTATCTGACTTGCTCTTGAGAGTCAGGTCATCCTACCTGTGACTGCTGTCGGATGATTTTTATTTCAGGTTTTGGATTACGTTTGTTTTCCCCCCACTTCTTTGCGCTGTGTTCAAGGTCTTCTTTGACGTGACACCGTGTGCATCCAAGCCGCCCTTTCCTCTCTACAATGGTGGGTTCCCTCTCAGGTCATCCTACCTGCGATTACTGTTTTCCCCTACTTCTTTGCTTTGTGTTGGTCTCCTTTCACGTTTGCGTATTGCAGCTGCTCGTGCAGTCCCTCTCAGGTCATTCTCCCTGTGACCGCTGTGGAATGAGTTTTTGGCTGCAGGTTTCGGTCTATGTTGTGTACCTGACTTATTTGTGTTGTTGGTCTCCTTTTACATTTGTGTCTTGCAGCTACTGGTCTTTTTAGGTTGTGTTTTTTCCACCGGTCCTTCGTAGTTCTCCTTTCATGTATGTTTTAAGATGTTCTCTCCTCGTCTGTCTTGCAGCCGCTTTTTGGTTTCTTTTGTCCTTGACTCTACTTCTTTTTCGTTTCGTCATCTGTGCTGTACCCTCGTACTTTCGCTGTGTTTCTGTCCCGTGTGCGCGTGCACGTGCGTGTGCATCTGTGCTTGCGGGTTTGGGATGTGGTAGTCACTGTAGTGGCTTCTTCGACAGGTTGATTATGCTTAGTGTAAATCTGAATCATGAGCTGACATTCATGTGCTTAGTGTACATCTGTCTGAATCATGATCTGATATTCTGTGTGTGGGTGTGTGCCTGTGCATTAGCAATCTGTGTGTGTGTGTGTGTGTGTGTGTGTGTGTGCTTTGGCAGTCACTGTGGTGTCTTAGAGAGGTTGATTGTGTTCACTGTGCATCTGATATCCTCTCTGTGTGGGTGTGTGCTTGTGCACGAGTAGTGGAAACTTGGTGGGAAGTTCACAACTCTCGTGCTGTGTCATTCCTGCCCACGCAACCGACTATTGCTGGGAATGCATTTGGGCATCTGTAGTGGTTCTTAACTCTCTATGTGAAACTGTCTTTGTGGGACCTGGTGTGCTTGTGCGTGCATGCGACCTACATGTGGACGGATCAATGCCAAGCCTTAGGGAAGATCTTCCTTTATATCTGTAACAGGCCTTTGCTGGCAACAACCACTATTATTATTATTATTATTATTATTATTATTATGTTTTATTTATTTATTGATTTTTCTTATCCCCCCCCCCCCCCCCSCTGGAAGGGAGAATGGGGTGAGCCACGTTCTGCTGCAGTGCAATACAGAGGCAACGGAGAGGGGTTGAGGTAAGCCTACCCATATGACCCCATGGTACCCCCAAAAAAATGATTTAAGATCATGTGGCCTGATGGACCATGGATCAGATATTTTAAACTGATCAGAACAGATACTAGATCTTTTTTTTGTTTTTTTAACTGGGCCCAGTGCCCAAGGCTCGTATTACTTCGGAAAAAGATGATTGATGAGGCCGGGGTCCTCACAGTCCAATCTGTGCCAAAACGCCGAGATAGGTATAACCAGTAATTTCCGCTCTATCCCTGTCCCTTGTTAAAGAAAAAATGAAAGATCCAATCTGTGCGTCCGGACTTTTTTTTTTTTTTTTTTTTTTGGAAGGAATCGAACTTTCATTATTAATTGGAACGAGAGGCCGTTGGTCCTGGTTTTGTTATTTCTTTGTCCGGAGAGTCAATGCTAGTGCCTGGTTTTGTGATTTCTTTTTATTTTTATTTTTTTGTGATTTTTTTGTTGCCGTGGGTCCTGGTTTGCTATTTCTTTCTTTCCTCATTCTTTTTTCATTTCTTTTTTTTTTTTTCCTGCTGAAAACCGGGTTCAGCGTCCCATTCTCTAAGTAGATTTTCCAAAATTACCTCGTACCAGCTCAGTAAAGAATGCTCTGCCCAATCGTACATCTTTAGCGTTTCCGCAGCTCAGAAAGGAGGGGGCATATTGCTCCCCCTATGCCATAATCCTGAACAGGCTCTAAACTTCTGCCGGACCTAAGATCATTCCTAAACAAAGTCCAATCGCTGGCAGCACCCGGCAATACAAGAAGTCCTTCCAACTTTCCTAGCTAGTATGTTAGCCATTTTGCAACACTTAAGCTGCTACCATCTGGGCTAACTAATGCTAGGTGTTGTTATTTCTCGTACCCGGTTGGTCGTGGTTTTGTGGTTTCTTGTCCCCGTCGGTCCTCTTTGTGGTCTCTTTATGTCTGTGTGTCTGTATCTGTCCCTTTTTATTTGCAGCCCTTTTTATGTCTGTGTGTCTGTATCTGTCCCTTTTTATTTGCGGCCCCTCCTGATTGCCTTCTCTTTATGTCTGTGTGTCTGTATCTGTCCCTTTTTATTTGCGGCCGCTCCTGATTGCCTTGTCTTTGTATGTGTGTGTTTCCGTATCTGTGCCTCTCTGTTTGTGACTCTTACTGATTTTCCTGTCTATATATGTCTGTGTTTCTGTATCTGTCCCTTTTTGTTTGCCTACAGTGTTCCCAGCCTCACTGCCTGGAATGGTACGGTGCCCACCAAAACCCAGTTTTCACCCCACAGAAAAATGTCCTTAGAAATCTGCTTCCAATGTTTTTCCCACCATTTATAAGCTCTTAACTCGACAGCCTCTTGGTGGTAAAGCAAGGCACGGAGGACAGAGAATGGGAGAGATGGAGATTTGGGCCTTAGAAGGTTTTGGAGCAGCTTATACATTACAAGAGCTACTGACTATCAAATGTGATGACATGAAAGGGCGTAACAAGGCACTAGGTGCAATTGTTACTGGAAATTTAATACCAGAACCAAGTACTACACCAGAGTCTTTTAAGCTTATTAAGTGAAAAGGGGAACTGCCAGGTGTACCACAGATGGTTAGTAGTCTCCCATTCCCATTTGCACCTACTACGAGTGGTAGGAATATCCCTTCCTTTTGAGTGTAGCCGTACTGCCGAAGCGGTTACCCGTAGGGACTAACAGGCTGAGCGGTATAATAGCTGAGCAGTATAATAACCTGCTTTTGAGATGGCAGCGCATTCAGCTGTTCCCAGTGATTCAAAAGATGGCCTCTAGTTGTAAGCTGTAATGATTGCTCTTCCTGTTTACTCAGCAGTACCTCGGTCGGCTTCTTCGTACTCTTCTGCTGTAGTAGCTTGACGCCTCTTTTTGTCGAGTACTGCATCAGTCCAACCGGCTTCTGGCTTGTTGGATCTATCCAACCGAAGGAGACAGGATGTACAGCCAGATTACTTAGAACCCTCTAGCCGCTGCTAGGACGAAGAAGTTTGGGTTGGGGTGGAAAATGTTTGGGCCGAAAATATTAGAAGGCCAGACTTTGGAAAGCTTTTGGCGTGGGCGCTTTCCACCCAGTATGTGGTACGAGGGGTCGACGTACGGCTCAACAGTGATTTCGTCAAAACGGTGTCGAGCGCATCGGTCCGGCACCGCACGGGGCAGCGCGGGACCCTCCCGGCCGCGTCACACAGGAGTCGGTTTAAATCCTTCGTCGCAGATAATACATGTGGAGCTTCCTTAAGCCGCTCCGGCCGAGTGCGCCAGCCATACCTCTTGCGAGCCCCTACGACAGGATAGGGCCTACGGGAGGTACGACTTACCTACACCTCACAGGAGCTGTCACCTCCCTTCGGTGGGCGTATCCCCGCCGAGTTACCAGTCCACAGTACGAAAGCTAATCAGTTGCAATCGCAGAGGTGGACCAGCCGAGGGCGTTTCTCATTCGCTGTAGCATAGGGGGTACGCGCGGTAATACGCCTCTATCGGACCCGCACGCGAATCAGCATCTTGGGGGGTTGAGGTCCCATGCGCAACCCGTCGTGGGTCGACTAGGACGCATCCCACACACCACGC